CACACACACACACACACACACACACACACACACACACACACACACACTCTCCAGGAATCTCCTGCACAACATTCATCTACAGGCAAGTGGGTAACTGATCTGAATCAGAAATAGGGTTCTCAAAGCTGTTTGGAATATCTGCATTAAAAAATGGCTCCATGTTAAAAAAAACAAGTCTTGTGTAAAGGTAACATCACCATAGTCCTCGTGGACCATAGGATTGCTCCCTCATTAGACAGAGAGAAATGCCTGGTGGTGATTTAATCTGAGGGTCATCCAAAGTGCAGTATCATGATCTAAGATCGCTTTTATTGTGATTGTGGTTTTTTGATCATTTTTAGATTACTGAAGTTATTGTATAAGAGGTGTACCACCTATAACATTGGAAGTGGCTTTTTTTTTTAATTCATTCACAGGATGAGGGCATCACTGGCAAGTCCAGCATTTATTGCCCCATCTCTAATTGCCCAGGGAGCAGTTTAACACAGTCAACAACATGTAGGCAGATTTCCTTCCCTAAAGGGCATTAGTGAACCAGATGGATTTTTTTTTCAAACAACCATCATGAGAGTGTGAACTCCAGATTGTTCAAACAACCATCATTAGAGTGTTAATTCCAGATTTTTCTTGAATTCAATTTCCACCATCTGCCGTGGCAGGATTTGAACTCCGGTCCCCGGAACATTACCTGGGCCTCTGGATTAACAGTCCAGTGATAATACAACTAGGCTACCGCCTCCCCAGGTTGGTGCTAAATATATCGTTCAATAGCAGTGAATTGTGAAGAGCAATTAGAATTCCAATTCTTTAAAATATGCCCCTCCCTTTGTAGTTTAACGATTTGACAGGAAGCTTGATTACAACTTACCTCGGACTCTCTCAATGTCACAATGTACATCTTGCTGAAGAATGCATGATAATGGCTAAAGTTGATTCTCATTCTGATTATCCCTTCTGCTTTAAGAGCAAGCCTTTTTTTGGTTTGGTGAAAATATGACTATACAGCGACAGAAGAGACCTCTGTAATCTGTCTGGTTGATACCATTACAATCACATAATAACTAACGTAGTGAGGAAAATTGGACAGCTCATTGCTAAACATTTCCTGCCCAAAGGTAGCAGCTACCAAACAATACTTGGGGAATCAATCTTTATACTGTCATGGGTTGTAGGCATTGCTGGCAAGGTCAGCATTTGATTCTCATCACCAGTAGCCCTTGAGAGCAGTTAAGACACAGCCACATTGCTGTGAGTCCATATTCACATGTAGACTGGATCAGTTAAGGATGCTAGATTTTCTTCTGTAAAGAATATTAGTGAACCAGACTATTTTTGCAACAAGTGATGATCGTTTCATGATCACTCTTACTAATTCTAACTTTTCAATTCCAGAATTTTAAAAATTAACTGAATATAATAATTCATTAAATCTAAATTCCACTAAATGTCATGGTGGAATTGGAATTTAGGCTCAGAATATTAGCATGGGCACCTGGATTCCTGTTGTCATAACCACCATACCATTATATATATAAAATATCAGTGATTGCAGCTCAAAGTTAATACATTATATGTGGAGCATTTTGGAACATGTTTTTGCAAATGCACGTTTTCATATTTTCTTATTCCATATGTCAAAATGACAACTTATTGAACATAGTACAGATCCTTCACAAACATCTTCCATCAACTATGTGATAAGCTGAGACTATTTTGAGTTGTATGATGCATTTTATTGAGAATATATAATTAAATGCAAGTATTGATGAATTCCTCTCCTGTTCTAGATTTGGCGAGTTGAGAGCAATGGTCGGATTCCTGTTGACCCCAGTACTTACGGACAATTCTTTGGTGGAGACTGTTACATCATTCTTTACACATATAGATTGGGACAGATCATTTATACTTGGTGTGTATTATCAACTCTTACATCTATCTTATCTCTTATTTTGATAAGCTTGATATAATTATGAGATTTACAAATGTTCCTTGGCGTCAAACAAAGAGGCTGAGTTGGTTTGGATTGTTCCAACTGTGCACTTAAACAGAATCCTGTTTTCATCCACTATCAATCTGAGCTCATCCAAAGTTCTGCTGCCCACATTCTAAATTATACAAATGAATCTCCTTAACCTACTTTGGCTCCCAGTCTGTCAACATCAATTTTAAAATTCTTGTAGATATTTTTAAACCCTTCCATAGCCTCACCACTCTCTATCTCTGTAATCTCCTTCAGCCCGACAATTCTCTAAATTACAGAGCTCATCCAATTTTGCTCTCTTGCGTATCTTCTATTTTAATCCCTCCAGCACTGGTGACTGTGTTTTCAGCTGTCCTGGCCCTATATTCCAGACTTCCCTTCGTAAAGCTTTCTTCCTTAGTGTATTTCTTTCCTTTAGTATGTCTCTTAAAACCAACATCTTTGTCTAAGTCTTGGACATCTACACTGATCAGTCCTAAAGAGGTTCAAGGTCAAATTTTATTGATAACATTCTGATGAATCATGAAAATCAATGCTGCTCATTGATCTCCAATCATGGTATAGTTAGGTGGCTCAGAGGAGGTGCCAACCAATAACAAGATAGGTACAGAATGAGAGGTGAGGGAAAGGGACATTTCTGGAGGGAGAAGATGAACATTAAATTTGTGAAACACAGAGGATCAATCCTAATTCTTGCAGTTTCTCAAAATAAGAGGGCCTATCCAATGAACCAAAAAGCCTTGTTAGGTGCCCAGTGGTAGGCCTTCCAGAGTAATGCACCATGGGTTCTTTGACAGCAGTTTCCAAATATGTAGCTATCTAAAAGTACAAGAGTGCCTGGCACATGAAAATACTACTAAATGCAAGTTCCTTTCAAGTCACACATCATTCTGACTTGGAACTATATTGCCGTTCCGTCATTGTTGCTAGATCAAAATCTTGATATTTATTTCTTATCAACACTGTGTGTCTACCTACATGACGGCAGTTCAGAAAGCTAGCTGAACACCACCCTTTCTAGGCCCAGTGAGGATAAGTCATAAATGCTGAATTTGTCACATCCTAAGAATGCTGTGGGCTCAGGTGGAAGAGGGTACAAATCATTTAGCTTTCCCTGTCATTTTAGTGCCAAGATGGTCATGTTTTCACCCAGTGGTGACAGTAAAAACTTCCCTCTAAATGTTTACTTGTACAATATCGAGGGGAAGAAAGGAATCCTTGGCTTATTAGAATGGCTTGTTTTAAGAGAAAATTGATTGGATTGTTTCATGTAATTATGGTGCAAATTTATAATATAAATAAGACAAACTGAAAACCATATTGCTGGAAAATAAAGTTATCATTAGCCATGGTAAACAAGCATTAATAAACTATTATTTCCAGTAGACTATTATATTGAAAGGCATGAAAGCATTGGCTCTCAGGTTCTGCTGTTATGCAGCTGGGCTTTGATGTTTAATTTAAGTAGGACTGCAGTATTTTTCTCTTACAAAGTGGAGCAACATTGCACGCTGAAGGCTGGATCCTCTGGGAATGCTGTTGACAAGTTCTTACAGCAAAATACAGATGATAAGCACATGACTAACAAAGACAGAAGTTAATTTCAGTGTTTAACTTGGCACAAGAATAGCAGCCATAAGCATAAAGAAATGTTGGAATGCAATTATTCCAAATAAAAAAAACAGCATACTCAACAGTCAGTCAGGGAAAAGAGAACAACTATTAGAAAATTTAAATGTAAGAAGAAAAAAAGCTTGAAAAGGCTAACAAGTCATTGACATCTGGAAGGAAAGAACAGATTACTAACAGAGCTGAAATAGTTCAATGAAGTTCAGAAAAGAGAAACTTATTATATCAGCAATTGATTTAATTCATGGAAAATCAGCATTACAGAAAAAATTAGTAGATAATCATAATATCTTTTTTTTTATTTTTCTTATTCATTTGTGCCCACAGCATGATGAATATATTTGGCTCAACAGACGGCT